CATGGTCATCCTGCTGGCCACCAGGACCACCCCTGGTTCCTGCCTGACCCTGCTCCTCTCCCCAACTGCAGGGCCCCCCTGTTCTGCCTGGGCTGACCCAGAGCAACTTCCAGTGGTGAATCCCCCACTGCCAAGCAAGAAAAGAAGGAGCTCCAGTACCTGCAAGTGCATCCCGAGCTCTGTGTATCCCTCTGGGGTTGGTCCTGCTCCCATTCAGGCTCTGGGACTGAGAAGTCCATTGCAGAGTGCAGGTAACGCTGGGATTTATCAGAAGCAGGAAAACCCAAAGCGTTAGCCTAATTAACACAAGAATGGGTCATTTACTACAGCTGCAGCAAAGCAATCGGGCAGCAAACACAACCTACCTGCTGCCACCCATCTCCTCCTCAATCAGTTCACCTCACCAATATGGACCGCTTTCTCACTGGTGGGGCCTTAACAGGTATTTAGAGGTGTGATTAGAGACCAGCCTTTCCCCCACCTGTGTGACATTGGGTTTTTTTAAAAAACAAAGCCAGGGCCCTCAGCACAGACAGCACCTTTAGCTCCTTGGATTCTGTGCCATCCTCACAGATCCCACTGTGCTCAACAACCAGAAGGTGCTTGGCCATACAAAGAAAATGTACTTGCGTTTCCAAAACAAGTCATTCTGGGAAAGCCTGCACTTGAAACGTGGCCTTGAGGACTGGGATATGGCAATGGAGCTCAAGCTCAGCACCGCTACTGAGGAGTTTCTGCAAGGTAAGGGCCTCAGGGGGACTGACTGGGCTGACTTTTAAAAAGATGATTCCTGTCTGTCTCCAAAAGTCAGGTAAAAATTGCAAAATCTGATCAATATGAGTAGTCTAGAAGTTAACAAAGAGCCCGCTATGTTTACATTTAAAGGCAATCAAATTAGCAGTGTCTGCAGTTGCACACAAAGTATGCAGAAGATGGTGCAGATGTTGTAACCTCACCACAGCATCTCCGGGCTCCTCTGTCCCCCAGCTCCTGATGGGACCCCACAGTCGTGGGGAGCTGCCCCCACACACAGGCACTTGCTGCAGGGGCGCTGTAGACCCTGTACAGACCCAGGGGCAGTTTGGGACCTGGCGCTGCCCACGGGGGCTGGCAACATTTCAGGGAACTGCTTTGGGAAAGAAAGGGGCTTCCCCATCCAGACACCCACGTACAGCCCGGGGGCCTTTACATGGGGACCTGCATAGGTGAGACCTCACCCAGGACAGGGTCTGGATGTGGTCCCGGGTGCGGTGATGTCTCTGCTCCTCCCCAGAACCTGGCATCCAGCCCCGGCTTTGGCTGTGGGTGAGCCCCAGCCTGGTCTGCCCCATCTCTGGGAGCCCTGGTGTGGACGCGGCCGGACCCGACAGCCCGGGGCCCTCGGATGCTGCTGTCACGGAGACCTCCCCTGCGAACACTTCCTGGGACAGCTCCGACACCGACTGTGCCGAGGAGGCCACGCTGCCGTCCCCCAGCGAGGACGGAGAGGTACAGCGAAGGGAACCGCCTGGGCCATCCCGGGCATCGTGCGCAGCTGACGACCCCGCAAGAACAAACGAGCTGGCTCGGCAGCTCCGAGCAGTCGCCTCCCGTTTCAGTGGGGTCAGTCCATGCACAGAGCCCTCTGATGGACAGGCAGAGAGCACAAAGTGTGGGGACAACACAGGCTGAAAGTTAAAGTATATAAGCTTCCTATACATGCTGTACCCGACCTCCCCTTCCCCAGAACACAGCAGCTTTCCCTATCCCTCATTCCACCCAGTGCTAACGTATCCGCATCCTTTTTCCCCCTCCTCTCTCCAGCTCACTGAGGATGAAGAGGCTGCGCATGTGGACACCCCCATCCCTCAGGAGATGCCGAAAGCTCCTGAGCTCGAGGCGATGCTGATGCCTCGGAAACCCATGGTCCTCAGACCTCAAAGCGTGAAGCTCAAGCACCCCAGGAGCGCCAAAACCGAGGGAGAGTGGCCCCGTCCCCCCCTGAATTACCACATCCTCATCGCCCTGGCCCTGCGCAGCAGCAGCAGCGGCAGCCTGACCGTACAGCAGATCTACCAGTTCACACGGTACCGCTCCGCTCCTGGCGCCGTGCGGGGAGAGGGGCACCGGGGGGCGCAGGGGTCTCTGATCTGCCATGGCGAAGCAGGGATGGGGCAGCCAGGACTCGCATTTGGGTCCTGGCTCTGCCTTCAGCTCAAGATGCCGCTGAGAAAACGGCTTCCCCTCTTTGTATGGACCCAAACCCAGGAGCCTCAAAAGCCAATTTAGCTTAAAAATACACAGTGCTTATCCATCCTTATGCCACAGGGGTCAGGGAGGGCCCTCTCCCCTGTCCCTCATTCGTGTATGACATCTCCCATCATTTTCACAGCCTCCAAGGGCTCCAGCTCCAGACAAACCTTTTCTTTCCACAGACACCACTTCCCGTTCTTTCAAACGGCCCCGGAGGGCTGGAAGAGCACGATGAGACACCACCTGTGCTTCAGCAGCTGCTTTGAGAAAACCCCTTCCTTCGTCTGCAGAGTGGGGAAGCGCAGGTCCTGCCTGTGGAAGCTGACGCCAAAAGGACACAGGAAGCTCCAGGAGGAGGCACAGGCCCTACCTGAATTGGTTCTCGACTTGGTGCGCCAAAGCATGAGCGAGCCGGGTAGGTTCTGGAGGGCAAAATGCAGAGTGAGCCAGGCTTTAGGAGACTTCTGCAGCAAGAGGGACACAGGCAGGTGCCCGGGCAGGGACACGGGCACTGCAGGACACCAGGTCTGGGGGAGTGGCGCTTGGAGAGCCCCATAGGGACAGCCCATGAGCAAGGCTTGGTCCAGAGCAGCCAAAAAACCCTTCTTTAACAAAACCAACACAGTGAGAGCAACCAACCAGGCTGGACCGAAACACAGAGCCTCCCTCTCAGGATCACACAACTCCTCTCACTCATACACAATACAACCCCCATCAGTCTAACACGGATAAGGACTGAGGCTGCAGCATCAGTCGGCCGTTGCGGTCCCAGTGTCTATCACAGCTTCCTTCCTCTCTGTCTTTTGCAGATCTCATGAGGTCCCTGCTTGGTCTGTGACTCCTGGCTCCCTATCTCTGAAGCACGGACCGTGTGTTTGCAAACCAAGGTTATGTTCTCAGGTGCTGCCGCAGGTAGCTTCCCAAGAGGGTGTGTGGAAATTATGAGCATTGCGACGTAAGGACTCAAATTTAGAAGGGGGGAGAGGAAAGATGACAAATTTGATTCCCTTCAGCAAGTTTTTGCTCCAGCTGCACACATCCCAGGTTGCAGAGGCACTCTGAAATGTAGCCCCTGCTGTGACTTTAGCATGGAGCCCTCCACGAAGTTGTTACCCCTTGCAATGTCCTCAAGGTGCAGGAGAAGGTTGATCTGTTCCCTGACCAAGGGTCTCAGGTCAGCGGCTGACCGAGAGGAGCCCCTGCCACGCAGATGTTACTCCAGCTGTGCAACCAGCAGCCAGGTGTCTCCAAAACTGCGGGGCCGGCTTCTGGCAGCGTCTGCCGCGCTCACTTGGCAGAAACTGGCACTGCAGAGCACAGGGAGGGAGGGGGTGATCTTGGAGACAAGGCTCTAACAAAGGTGAAAAAAGAACACCAAAACCAATCAGAGTTTAGTGCTGAGTTGTCTGACGGCGTCAGACGTGTTAACAGATCCTCACATCTAAACACACGCACTCGGGGCCGAGCAAACCAGCACAGGGTGGGTGTGCGGAGCTGGGCACTGACACCACTGGAGCCCTCCGAAGAGGGGGGCACGCCCGTCAGGCCCACACACGGCAGCACGGGCTGTCTGTCTGTCTGAGGTTTCGGGGTTTTAACACCCCCCTGGTTTAGAAGGAACGGTCTAGGGGGACCTGGCTGTGATAACCTGGATGCTGACCCTGCGGTCACGCCGGGCTGCACTGCGAGCATCCTGCGAGATTAATAAAAATAAGGGAAAAAACCGAACAAGCGCCTAACGTTTCGGTAGGGCTGCGTAAAACGACGCCACCGCACCACCCTCCACAGAAACACTCGTAAAAATT